TCAGGAAGAGCTGAGCTCAAATGTGACCTCAGACATTTACTGATTGTATGACTCTGAGCAAGTCACTCAACTTCTGTTTGCCTCAGTTTGCCCATCTATAAAATGGGGATAATAATAGCTCATATCCTCCCCTGTTATGAAATAATATTTGTAAAGCAATTAACATAGTGCCAGGCACTTAGTAGGTGAAGTTATTGTTATTGTCGTTATTCTCATTATCTGACAGTGCCAAGGACTTTGATAGCAAAAACTCTTTTTTTCTAGTTCTTCAATAGATGTGGCAGTAGCATCTTCAGGAATAGTTGACAGTCTGCCTCTCTACAAGAGTTTCTTCCTAGGATAATGATGTGGACCCTAGGCTGAAAGCATTACTATCCTTCCTCTGGATTAGAGCATTCTTTCTCTCCATGTTTGAATTGAGATCTTATCTTGTTCTCAGAAAAAAAGAGCTCATCCACTCTTGTGTATTCTTCGGTATATTCTAATCTATATAACTTCTCCGATTTCCATTTTCTCTTTGGATAAAAGGATTTACTAAATAGCTGTTATGTGTAATGGTCTTTTGTGTAACCCTGGTTTGGTGGGAAGCAAGGAGAGAATGCATTCTAGGCATGGAGGATTCCTAGTACAAAGGCATGGAAAGGAGAAATGGAATGCCATGTATGAAAAATGGTAAGAAGGCCAAATTTACCTGGACCCTAATGTGTGTGAAATACAGTAACATATAATAAGGCTGGAAAGGTAGTCGAGTAGAAGAGGGCTTTAAATGCCAAGAAGAGGGGCAGCTAGGTGGCACAGTGGATAGAGCTCTGGTCTTGGTGTCAGGAGGACCTGAGTTCAAATCTGGCCTCAGACACCTGTTGCTTACTAGCTGTGTGACCCTGGGCAAGTCACTAAACCCCCATTGCCTCACAAACATGAAGAGGGGACTCTATTTGGTCCTAGAGGTGAGCAGGAATGAGAAAGCATTTTACAAATTTCAAAATGCAGTTACCTGGGATTTGATAGAGCAAACAATGATTTCTTTTTAAAAGATGCTTTTATTTGATCATACACGTAAATTGATAATATTACAACAATAATTTCCCAGATTAAAAAAAAAAACTCTATCAGAGACATCTTTGCTGGTTTATAGCGTTTCTTATGCAGTAGCTTTTCAAATTTTTTTTAACATCACAGTCATTCCCCAACACACACTCCCTTTCCTTGTAACAGAAAAAATATTTGAGCAAAACCATGTAACACAAGGACTAAGACTGGCAACATTGTATGAAAACTGCAGTCAGATTTAGTCTTAATGTAAGGAACAACTTCATAAAAATGTGGAAGTCGAAAGGGATGCGTAGGTGTATCATCTATTTCCCACTACCAGAGGTCTTCAAGAGGAGATTGGGTGATCATTTGTCAAGGATGTTGCAGAAAGAAATCTTGTTCAGGTAGAGGTTTCACTCAGTGACACTGAGGAGGGAGATGTGCTTCAGCATCTCTTCCTGGGCGCCTGGAATGGCCAGTACAGAAATCAGAGTTCAAATGCTTTTTGGTATTCTTTCCATTTACATTGTTGCAGTCACTTTATGTTATTCAGAGGCAACTAGGTGGTATAGCGGATACAGTGGTGGACCTGACCTCAGGAAGACCTGAGTCCAAATATAGTCTCAGGCTGTGTGACCCTGGGCAAGTCACTTAACCTCTGTTTCAGTTTCCTTATCTGAAGGATGGGGATAATCATAGCACCAGACTCCCAGGGCTGTTAGATCAAATGAGATAATATTTGTAAAGTGTTTTACAAACCTTAAGGTGTTATGTAAATGCTATCATCATCATCCTGATTCTATTTACTTCCCTGTATATCAATTCATACAGATTTTCCCATACTTCTCAGGAGATCTCATTTTCATCATTTCCTATGGTCCTATGATTTCTTTTTGAAATGAGATTTTAATTATTGGTTTCTTTCCTTCTTCATTCACTTATTATTCACTCTCCTTATATTTTCCTAGAGCACTCTCTCTGTGGCTCTCCTTTGTCCACTACCACTTTACACAATCAGAAATTGAAGAGTTGCAAGACGCTTCCATCGCCATCCTATCTAACTCATATACAAAAGGAACCCCCACTAGAACATACCTAATCGGTGATTTCCAGCATCTCCAAGACTTCCAAGAGGCAGGAATCTTTCCTTATTTGTTTCTGCGTATGGGATCCATTCTTTTTTCCCAAGACTCTCCTTTCTTCCTAACTTCCATATTTATATTGTGGGCACCATCATCCTTCCAGGCACACAATAGAGTTCTTTTTTTTTCTCTCTTTCCTTCATCCCTTATAGCAATCACCCAATCAACAAGCATTTATGTATTTATTTGTTTGTTTAGTGCTTACTAGATTTCAACATTTTTTTAAGTACTGAGACTACAAAGAAAAAGCAAAAACAGCCCCGATCTTCAAGGACCTGACATTCTGATGTGAGAGACAACATAGAGATAAATAGGCACATATAAGATGTCTACAGAGTAGATTGAAGTTTTAGAGGTGAAGGTACAAGCATCCAATAGGTAGCTAAGTCTTGTAAGATCCTACTTTTTTTATCCGTCCTCTTGTCTCCACTCAGATAGTTCAGACTTTCCCTCACCTTCCGTTATGATAGCCTTCTAACCTGCCTCCCTTCTCACCGGCCTCTCCTCCTTCTCATGCCCCTCAGTAGAACTGCCAAATGAACATACCTAATGTACAAGCCTGACTACAACACTTCCCTGTCCAAGAGGCTCCAATGGTTTATAGGATAATATACAAGCACCCCTTTGAGGCTTTTAGAGCCCCTCACAATCTGGCTCTATCTAACTTTCCCAGGATTATTGCACATTATTCTCACATACCCTGTGTCCCAGTCAAACTTGCCTGCTCCCTGCTTCCCATACATGTCCTTCTATCTCCAATCTTTGCACCTTTTGCTCAAGCCATTCATCACCTCTGCTTTACAGAATCCCTTACTTCATTCATAGCTCAGCACTAGAGCCACCTCCTGCAGGAAGCCCATCTCATTCCCCTAGCCACTCCTTGTGTCCCACACACCCACTTTCCCACTCTGTTCCATCCCATCGTCCTGATTTCCCAACCAAAATCACTTTGTATGTATATGGCACTTAATTTTCTATGTTTCTCCAATATATAATTTAAGTTTCCTGAGGGTAGGGACTATTTCATTTTGTCTTTGTAACCCCAGCACCTAGCTGGGCACATACTATACCCTTAATAAATGTTTATGGAATCAAACTAAATTATCATGGATTTGAATTGAGTTGAATCAGTAGCCTGAGAGACTTCCATGATGCTATGGCATGGAGGGGGAGAAAAGGAGACCCTGCCCCCAGAAAATGACAAACACAGCTGGTCTATGTAGTTGTCCAAAAGAGGCATCTGGCCCTTCTTCTCTAGTCCCAGTCACCTTAGGACAGATACTCAGTAAAACTCAAATGGAGTATTGCAATATGCAAGCTAATAGGTTATCCCACCTCCCCTTAAACCATCCTTCATGCTATGGCCAAACTTCATAGGACCACCATAGGAATTATAGACTTCAAGGTAGAAAGAACTTTAGAAATCATTCAAATGAATCATCCTCATTTTATAGATGGGAATCCTGAGGCTCAGAAAAGTTAGATGACTTCTCCAGGGTCACCAAGCCAGTAGGTGCCTGAGATGAGTTGGTTCCATTGCTAAGTGCAGTGCCTAACCATGCTCCCACACTGCCTCATCTTCCTTGAACATAACCCCTCACTTTATATATGGGGAAACTGAGGCCCAGAGAAGTGAAATGACTCCAAGCTGCCTGCAGCAGGTGATCTGGTTATGTCATTCATTACCTGCCACCTCCTGAATAAAGTTTTTTTTTGCCTGACATTCAAGGCCTCATTTGATAGTCTAACATTATCCTGATTTCCCATCTTTATTGCCTAGTACTCTTTCCCACATGCTCCCTATTTCAAACTAGATTGCTCCTCATATACAGCCTATACTTTCCCACAAGTGTCTAAATGGCCTTCTCCCTCCACTCTCTGCCAGCTAATGTCTAAGCCAGGGGTGAGGAATCTGCAGCCTCAAAGCCGCATGTAGCCTTCTAGGTCATTGAGTGCAGCCTTTAGACTGAGTCTCAGTTTTACAGAACAACTCCTTTTATGAAGGGGATTCATTCTGTGAAGTTTAGATTCAGTCAAAGGGCTGCACTTGAGGACCTAGAGGGCCACATGTGGCCTTGAGGCCAGAGGTTCCCCATCCCTAGTAAGGCTTCCTTTAAAGCTCTCCCCAACTACCACCGCATCCAAGAAGCCTTTCCTAATCCCACCCATCAGTATTGCCTTCCCTCCTCACAAAGACCTCACAAAGCACTTTTTTTCTTTCCCAGATCTCTTGGATGCACTCATCCTGTATGGTTTTCATTATAATTATTATAGACCCATGTATTTTTGTCACATCCAGCTATCAGTACTGCAAACTCCATAGAGTCTTATGTCTTATCTAAACTTTGTGTTTCCCAGGTACAAAGTATGTGTTTAAAGAAGGGTCATTCAATTGAATTTCTAACTTATTGAAAGCTATATCTAAATCATTTTGTCAGGGTCCCCAAACTCAGCTTAGAGAATATTTCAGAGACTCTGCCTTTCCTCCCATCACCAAGGGAAGCACCAGTAGCCACCTATGGAGGACCACTTAGCAAAGCCACCCAATGCATAGAATCGTGGTTGCAGTGGCCTGGAAAGCTAGAAGGGACCTTGAGAATTCATTTCACCCATGAAAGTGATGAGAACATTGAGGAAAATCCAGTTAAGGAAAAATGGAAATAAAGGACTTGGGTTGGGAGGTGGGGAGGCTTTAAAATTATCATTCTTTTAGTTTCTCTAATGCCTGGTTCTGCCCACCCCACCTTGCTCTCCCCTCCCCACCTAGGACTCCTTCAGAAGCTATCAGCCAGTTCTCAATAGCTAAAGAAAGATGCCAAGAGTGAATTGAGGTATCAGTCACTTTATTGCCCTATAGATACCCAACACCAGGTAGGTCCTCTTGATCCCCGCTGGAACAAAGATGCAGCTACTCGTGGGAAGCTTCATGGGCATCCACCATCAGTCTGGTTATCAGGAAGAGGTATTCCTCAAAGCTCATCAACTCATCTTTGTTGCTGTCCACCTCTTTCAACAAGGCCTCCAAGGTTTTGGGATCCTTTGGATTCTGTCCAAAATCAAGAGTCAAAGGTTGGGGTGGGGTTGGGGGAGGAGGGAGAGGAGATTTAAATTAAGGTCCAGAACCAGTACTGGGAGCTGGGGTCACATCTTATTACATAAAGGAAGGACAAGGGTCAAGTGAACCATATCTTGTTTAGAGGCTTTAATCTCTCTTCCCTTTCCTTTATCCTGGGAGGACATGTGGTAACAGTGGAAAGGTAGCTAGATTGGAGTCAGAGGACCAGGGTTTGAATACCAGCTCTGCCATTTATTAACTGAGAAAGTCACTCAGCCCTTCTTGACCTCAGTTTCCTCATCTATAAAAATGAGAGAGTTGAACTTCTAAGGTACCTTCTAGCTCTACATCTATAAATCTATAATCCCACCTTGCCCTCAAAAAACCCCCCCTTCCAATATCCCTCCAAAATCCAAAGCATAGAATGGGCCTGAATACTCCCACTTACTTTAAGTGGACAAAAGCCCAGCTTCTGGTCTATGTAGCACAAAACAAAACACAGGGAGATGAACCATCATAGATAGTCAGACTGAATAGTTCAGTCCCCTAATCTCCCCTTTGTGAACATGAACTCTCTGTCAGGATTCTCCCTATATCCACCTAGTTAACTTGGGGGCTCCCAACACTCCCTCTTGCTTTAGGCAACAAGGACCTAGTCTAACACACTGTGCTCCTTCCAGCTCTTCCTCCAGCCCCAAGCCATGGAGCTCTGCACCCTGCCCTCCCATACATACACCTTCCTCACCGTCAGAAGCTCTGGACACTCTGTCTCTACTAGTTTCCGAAATGACTTCCTGTTCATTGCATGGGGATGGCCATGCCCCAAGGAATACTTGTGGAAGACAGTCACCATACAATTTATAGCACCTTCAAATTTTGTCACCATCTTTGCAAAGATTTAGGTCTACCTGAAAGAAGGAGAATAGTCCGTTGACAGCTGAACCCTTTCAGGGGCTCAGGGAACTCTGGGATCTATGTCCTCAAGGAGGAAGATAAAGGGAACTCAGGCTAAAAATCTACATTGTTGAAACCCCAACGAGACTTTTGAGCCTTCACTAGCCCCCAACTAAGTATAAAGCCTAGTCAACACAGGATGGGATAAGATGAGCCCTGGACTGAGATTCAGAAGATCTGGGTTCAAGCCCCAACTCTAGTAGCTGAATGGCCTTGGACAAGTCCCTTCTCTTATTTGATCCTCAGCTCCCTTAGTAATGTGTAGAAAGCCTCAGATCAAGCCTAGGTGAGCCAGGCCAACTGAACTAAAAAGGAACCTAGTAGCTCTCACTCTCCAAGGGGCTACCTTCAGGGCTACAGCCTAAGGAAATCCGAGGATAGGGAAGCACTCTATATTTCCCCCTAGGTTATCAAGGCTTTCCGGTCGGCCTCTTGGTTCCCAGGGTAAATCTCCAAGAAAGCCATTAAAAAGAAGTGATTTTAAATCTCAGCTCTTGCACCTACAGGATCTCAAACAAGTCCACCTCTCTGGGCCTCAGTTCCTTACATATAAAACGAAGAGGGTGGACCAGATGGCCCCTAACACTCTCAGCTCTAAAACTGTAATCATCTGTGTTCCTTCCTTGTCCTACCCCTCATTCCCAACTCTGTGTTCTCACTGCACTACACTACCAGCCCCACCTGGATAGAGGAGGGACAGCCACACTTACCTAGCTCTCCTTTAGAATGAAGAAGCAGACAGAAGATATGGGGAGAAGAGAGATCTCTCCCCTTTTATAGTCCCAGGACTTCCCGGTGCCACCCGCTGCTGCCTGAAAGTTGCTACAACCTCGCCCTGTTTCCCAACCTGATGAATGTGTCAATTTCTGGTTAGAGTAAGGTTTTTCTTAGGGTGTAAAGTTGGGGGTGGGGAGAAAGGAGGAAAAAGGGAACCTTGATCCACAGAGTGCTGTCTGGAGCCAAGTTCAAGTTCAAGTTAACTCATTCAACTCCTAAATCCATTTGATAAGTTACCAGACAAAGCTAGGCCACCACCACCACCACCACCATCACCACCATGCGCTGCTTCCGTTAGTACTAGAACCCTGACAAAACCCCTCCAGGGCTGACAAATTAAAATCCAGTAAACATCTGTCAGTAGACTGGGAAGAGCTATAAAGCTTTGGTGCGATAAAGCCAAGGGGACTTTTGCTGCTGACAAATGTTCATAATAAAGGCAGGAATAAATAAAGCATTCCTATCATAATAAAGACAGGAATAAAAGATGTCCAAAGGGTGGAGGTAACAATCTTTCCACCTTCCCTTAGTTTTTGGCCTGGCTCAAATTTATTTGAATGAAAAAACCAGAGAGATTTGATTTCAACCTTTTCAAATAATTGTTTGGGGTCAATGAACTATGTGTTTCCTCTCTGAGACACAGGGAGGTAAAAAGGAAATACTTACTTACCCTTAGCTTCCTAGCCATCTGTCTGACTTTTGTTCCACAGCCCTTTGGGCTGAGTGTGTTGACTGGATGCTTTAAGGCCGGAGAGGTAGGCTGATGCCAGGTTAGAAGTCCTCAAATGCCAAGCATTGGAGTTCAAACTTTGTTTTTGGGGGAGGGTGAACTCTCTTTGTACAAGGAAAACATATGCTGTCACTGAGATTCATCCTTCCTGCAAAGATATTGTTTTATTTTGCAAAATAGAACATATTGTCTGCCTTCTACTTAATGTGTCAACACTTTCTTGCTGAGTGACCCTGAGAAAACCAATTAACTTCCCTCCAGCTCTGTTTCCTCACCTGTAAAATGGGTATAATAATGCCTATTGTAGCTACCTCACAAGCTGAAATGAGATGATGGACTCAAAGCACTTTGCAAGCCATGAAGGGTTTATGTCAATGATTTTCATTATTATACTTGGGAAAGGTACAGACAGAAGAGAACGAAAAATGGTAAGGGAAGGAAACAAGCATTCATCTCACACCTAATATGTGCCAGGCATAGTATTAAATGCTTTACAAATATTACCTCCTTTGATACTAACAACAATTCTGTGAGATGGATACTATTATTACTCCCATTTTACACTTGAGGAAACTGAGGCAGGCAGAGGTTAAAGTCACACAGATAATAAGGGTTTGAGGCCAGATTTGAAATCAGGTCTTCCTGACACCAGGATCTTGGCCTTATCTACTGCGCCATCTAGCAGCTGCATTTGGACCCAAAAAATGTCCAAAGAATGCTGTCTTAGTGAAAAGAACACCAAGGGCTAGGAATTGGGAGGGTCTTGTGGTTACTGTTTGGTGAGTGGACCGCCATCAAAGCTAACTGTATAAAGTGTGACAGCCACAAAATATCCAATGTGGAATTTCCTAACCCTGGGTTGTTAACAGCAAAGACATTCTGGCTTTATTTGTTCAGAAGCTGCTTGTTAGAGGGAATGTTGTCCATATTCAAATCAGAAATGAGCTCTAGAAGAAGCACAGCTGATTCTTTACCCTTCACCATCTGCCCCCACATTATCCTGACAATGGAAGACTTTCCATCTCTTCTTCCCAGACATCTCTCGCTGAAGTTTTCTGTTTCAGGCTTGCCATGCCTTCTCTGAGTCCCTGCCTTACCACCAGGTGCTTAATTCAGGATAAGACAAGGCACTTTTAAATCATCAAACCTTCAACAGGGAGGTTGACTTTGCCCTAACACAGCAAGAACGTGTAACAAGGATATAGTGACTTCTCTGGACTTGGAGACTCCCTCATCTCATCCAGGTCCCAAGGGGAGGCATTGTCTTCTTTTAGGTAAAGCTGCCTCCATATCACGGGAAAGAAGCTGTCAGAGAAACATCACTCTTATCACATGCCTCTTAGGACCTTCAATTTTTTCGGTAATTCAATTTAACTAGCTCTTCGCTTTTAGCTTGTGGTTAATGACTTGTCCTTTGGCTCTGGACAAGCAGTAGGGATCCACTGAAAGTTTTTGAGAGGAGGAATGACAAGACTATTTAAAAAATACTCTGAAAATGGTAGGAATGGTGATTTGGAGAAGGGAGAAAGCAGAGCAAGGAAGTCTGATGAGAGTTTATTGCAAGTAGGAGTGTGGTGAAAATTGAGAACAGAAGTTTGAAATCTGAGATATTGGGGAGGTAGAATTGATAGGACTTGACAACTAATTTGATACAAGAGGTGAGAGAGAAGAAAAAGTCAAAGAGAATCCCAAGGGCTTTCACTCTTGGGTGAACAGTGGTGCCCTTTAACTATCACCATGGATGGAAATCATGAACTAAAAATGTCTGTACTCTTTCTACCAAAGATCCCACAGCTAGGCACATTATAGGTCAAAGGTCAGACCTGTCAAAGAAGGTCAGAGACAGAAAGATCCTATATACACTAAAACATTCGTAACAGCATTTGTGGTAGCAGAGAACTGGAAACCAAGGAAGTACCTATAGATTTGGGAATACCTAAATAAAGTATGGAATAGGGATGTTATAGATTATTACTATAAAGGAGTATGACAGATATGAACAATTTGGAGAAGCCTTGGAAAATGGATATGAAGTGATGCAGAATAAAATAAACGGAACAAGGCAGACAATATACATAAAGATTACATCAACATAAATGGAAAGTAAAACATAACGAAACTAAACACCATGTAATTATGAGAAAGTCAGGTCATACAGAAAAGTTGGATAAATGCACCTTCTTCCCATCTCTGTAAAGGTGGGTCATTATGAGTATGAAATATTGCTTATACTTGTAAAGACGGTAAATGTGTTGGCCAATATTACCAAGCTGCTTTTTTTTCCTCTTTTGTGATCTTTGTTACTAAGCATGGCTCACCAGACAAGGAGGAAAGATATATTTGAAAATAAATGTGGTATAAAAATGAAAATTAACAATTAAGATAATAATAGCTGATGCTTACATAGCCCTTATGTGCCAGGAACTGTGCTAAGTGCTTTACAATTATTATCTCATCTGATCCTCACAACAACTATAGGAGGTAGGTGTTATTATTATTCTTATTTTATAGATGAGGAAATTGAGACAAATAGGTTAAGTGACTTGCCTAATGTCGTACAACTAGGAAGTGTCTGAGACTGGATTTGAACTTGGAACTTCCTGACTTCAAGCCCAGCACTCTGCCTACTGTATCATCCAGCTGCCCTAGGTGATTAGAAATGTTTTAAGATACAGTGAAGTTAAAAGGAAGATTAGGTTTTGAGATAATAAATTTGGTTCTGGAGCTCTTAAGTTAGACATACCGATGGGACATCCAGGTAGAGATACTGGATAGGAAATTGGAGGTGCAAATCTGAACCTCCAGAAATACTGTGGAATAAGAGAAGAGGTTCCCCAAAACCTGGGAAAGAACCACCTCAAAAGATGAGGGAAAGGACAAGGAACCAGCAGACAGAGAAAAAGGAACTAGCAGACAGAGAAGAAGCAACCAAAGGAAGAGAACAGAGCAAGTATGATATCTCAGACGCCAAGAAAGGAGAGAGTACCTTGTGGGGCTTAGAGAGGGCAGTCAAGAGCAGAAAATGCTGCCAGAGGAAAGAGGACCTAAAACAGAAATTGTCCCAAGCCTATGAGTAAGATCCAGAGCAGATGTTCCTCTCACGGCCCCACTTACTACCCTGGGCATAAAAGAATAAGGTTGGTTGAAATAAAATGTCAGGTTATCAATCAACTATTGCTCTATTGCAAGGCAGCCATGTGGTATCATAAGAAAAGTATTGATCTAGGACTCAGAAGATGCAGGTTCTGATCCTCATTCTGCCCTTCACTAACCCTACGCTCGTGGCCAAGTCACTTCACTTCTAATAGGTAAAACAGATTTCTAAGCAGTAAAGTGAGCTCTCTGGACCAGAGAACTTTAAGAAGCTTTCAACCTCAAGAGTTGTATGGACCTAATATGAGAAAAATAATAATATCTGATATTTACATGCTGTTATAAAGTTAACAAAGTGCTTTATAAATACACCTCACGGAATTCTTACTGTGACCCTATGAAGTAGTTAATGAAGATTCCACCCTCTTTTCCAGGTTGGAAAATGGAAGAAGCTTAGAAAGGTTAGGTGATCTGTCCGAGGTCACATGGCTAATAGTCACTTGGGATTTGAACCCAGATCTTCCTGGCTCCAAGTCTAGTACTTTATTTACGATACCACTGTGATGTGTCAAAACATTAATAATACATGGCTCTCCTATAGAACTTTTATACTTTTCAAGGCACTTTGACATCTAAAAACTCAAAGGGGCCACCCAATACTTATAAGAGGTAGGCAAGGTATTGTTGCCCCATTTGACAGATGTGGAGATTGAGGCACATGGAAATGAAATGGCCTTCTCTAGATGATAAATTATATGATCTATAGTATCATATCTTTTCAGAACTGAAAGGGACCTTAGAGATTATCTCAATTAACTCTTTCACTTTAAAGATGAGATCAAGTGACTTGCCAAAGGTGGTACAGGCAGGTAACATACAATGATGTTTATTGTGTTGGATCAGGTAGTGATTTTATTTTTCATCTGACCCAAATACATAAGTCATATGTTTTAGGAAATACAGAGAGAACCTATATTTTTTTTGTCTTCCAAGAAGAAATGCCGTATGCTGAGCTTCTCATTATTCTACCCAACATCTCTAACTTTTGGGAAACATGCCCAGCCTGTTATGGATTACGGGGGTAGGGAAGAGAGGAGATGGAAGGGTTAGCCCTCCACTGGGTGTTCAGTCCCTTTCTTGCCATTCCATTTTGTTTGAGTCTTTAATTCAGAACAAGACACTTTATCAAGCCCTTACAAGCACAATGTTTTCTGC